CCTCTCGCTCCCTCCTGCTTGGGGCGAGCTGCTAACGTCGCGCCTGCGCACACGCAGCGGAGCGGCGGAGCTGCCAGCGTCTCGGAGTTCTACGCCTGCGCGAGGCCTGGCTCATCACGCCCCTTTTTTTCTCCCGCCTTATTTGAGGATTTGGACAAATAATAGGAGAGAGGGAACTGGGCTCCTGCCAATCGAAGGAAGGGTGGGTGAGGCTGGCGACGGGAAGCGGGTGGGTAATCTGCGAAGAGGAAACAGAGAAGGCGGAGGACTATGAGACCAATCAGCGGGTGAGTGAGGGCAGAAGGAGGGACGAGGGAGGTAACTAATAAAGAAGCGGGAACCTGAACCTCCTGTCCAATAAGTACAGCTGAAGCGTAAATGACAGCGGAAGGGCGGGGAAGAAGGCAGGTACTGTGTAGTAGAAGGCGGGGCCTTGCTGTCTCCTGGCCAATAAGAACTCTATAAAGAGAACCAATAAGAAAGGGAGTAGGCGAGGAGTGACAGACAACATCTATAGTCAATAGGAAAAGCGAAGGAATTGTTGGGTCTCCCAGGATGGTTAGCAAGGAATGACAGCTGGGGTGAGGCGGGCCAAATTTGTGATTAATTTGCCCAGTCAGCCAACAGCTTTCTTCCACTTTGGCACCAGGGTAGGAAGATAGCTAGCTTTCTCCACCAATGGCAGCAAGCAAAGGAGGAAGGATGCTGCCAGCAGGCGGTGTCAGCCCAGGGATAGTTGGTGACAACCGGAGACAAGCACGAGGAGGGGATGACAGTTGGTGACAGCGCAGAAGGGGCTGGGGCATTAGTACAGCTCTTAACAACAAGAGTGCAGTGCTGCTCTTCCTGAGTCCTTCAGCGCCTGAGTCCCCCCTCTGATGGTCTGTGGCATCCTGCGCTATTCCCTCGTCCTACACTGTCGACCTCACGATCTCCAGTTCCACCCTCCTCTGAGCTTCCAGATCCTCGAAGCTACATCTCTCTCTTTATCTCCCATTTCCTGTAGGAATTTCAAGCCCCAAGTCCCTCTCCTCACCCCCCATCTATCTGAGCTCCTCTCCAGAACCGAAACTCCAGTTCTGCAGAGCTTGTGCCTCCATGCGCTCCCTCTTCTGGTGGGGAATCCCAGAGCCCAAGCCCGTGAGTCACTAATGCCATGAACTCCCCCCTCTTATTTGAGGGATTAAACACCCCAGGCCCATCAGTCCCTCTCCCCTCACTGCCACATCTCTGCTTCTCATTTTCTAAGAAGCTAGACCTCATCCTCATGAGCCCCCGTGTGTGCCTACTGCACAAACATGAAGACATGACTTTATGACCCCCAACCGTCCAACTTCTAAAGGTCCCCTCTGACCCCACTCTCCTGAGCCCCAGCATTAGAGGGTTCTGACTTCCGCACCGCATCCACCATCCTGAAATTTCAGTCCGACTCAGCTTCCAGCTCCCAGCTCCTCCTCAGTTTCTGAGTTATGCGAAAGTCTTCACTCCCAACTGAGACCACATCCTGCAAACGCCCATTCAGTGTCCGGTCTCCTTCTCAACTTCCCACCTTCCATTTGACTTGAGCTTCCGGAACACACCTCCACCCGCCTTTTTGGAGTCCTCTTCCCCTCCCAGAATCCAGTAATGAGTGGGCTCCTCCCAGGCCTGGACCCCCACAGTAACCATATGAGGCAAGGCAGCTGCATCTGAGGCAGGGAGGGGCCTGTGCAGGAGGCCAAAGGCAGCTGCTAAGTTTAGGGTGGCTCCTTCATTCTTCTTAGAGTCGACAGGTGGCTGGGCCCCAGTGCCCAGAAAAGAACTTGTCTTAGAGTCACTGGCATGGAGCCGAGGGAGGGGGAGGGGGAGGCTCCTTTCTGAGGACATTGGGTCCTCGAGGGAGCAGGAGGAGGAGGAGAAGGGTGTCCTTGCTAACTTGGGGCTTCCTCTGCCACTGTTTCCCCAGACTTCTGACGCTGGGGCACTGAGGCCCAGAGGATTAGGAGGGGTACCTCAGTCACACAGTCAGCTAATCTAGTTCTCTCCCAGAATGAAGAGAGGCTGCTGGCCGCCACAGCCACAAGGGAAGAGGTGCCAGCGCCAGCTAACTGCCCTCCTGTGCCTTTGCCTTTGCCCCCCAAGGCCCAGCTTCCATGTCAGCACCCTGGAAACGATCTAGACTGACACTGTCCTGCCTTTCTCCTGCTTCAAATCTTTTCATTCCCCCTAGGTCTCACTTTCCACCCTCAGAGTCTGGTCACCAACCCCTTACATCCTCTACTTCAGCTGCCCCACAATCCCAGCAACCGGGACACCTGATCTTTCTCTGTCTGAGCCTTTGCCCAGGCGTGTGTGCTCTTGGCCTGGGGGCTAGATCCCAGCCTCCCCACCTCGCCCAATTTGCTCCCACTGGCCTTTTCCAGGCCAAGTCTGTACCCGGGACAGGGCTGCTGAACCCGCTACTTCTGAGTTCCTGACGAGCTGATACCTCATTTCAGCATTTATTCCCATCTCTACCCCCAGACTGTAAGTCCCACCAAGGCAGGGACTGCTTGTTAATTCTACTGCAAGTTCCATGGGGTAAAGACTGTTTCCACTTTATAAAGGAAAGCAGGGCTCCGGGGTTAAAGTAGAAAGTCTGAGACCACTGAGCTATCTTTCCTCACCACTCACCCTTCCTTGAAGGGATATAGGAGAACTTCCTGGTTTTCTGGCTTCCACAAATACCTTCTCCCATCTTTAGGCCCTACCACCACGGACTACCACACTCTTGACTGTGAATGCCACCAGGGGGTGGGGGGCAGGACACATGTCACAGCGCACTGCCAGATACACTAGGTGCTCAATAAATGCCTACTGGGTTCAGATTTTCTCTCTATCTCTCTCTCTTTCTCTCTCTCTCTCCCTCCCTCGGCTTAGGCTCCCTCATAACTCTGGCACATTCATCCCCCTTTTTGGGAGAACACCTCTTCCTGCCTAGGTCCTAAGGAGACATACATGCATCTGAGCACCACTCCCTCCTCCCTCCCTGGGCTCCAGCTGCTGTGGGCCCTCCAAGAAAGGAGAGGCCCTGAGCGGGGCTATTTTGGTATCTGGGGTGGGCACCCAAGGGCTAAGGTTACCCTGGTATGTTAAGGCTCCCTGGGGCAGGGCTATATAACCCTGGAGGGACTGCACCAGGCTGACTTTCTGCTTCTGTCCAGCCAGAGCCACCGCCTTGGCCCAGGAGACCTGAGACATGGTGAGTGAGAAACTCCATCCCAGAGCCAGTCCCTGAGACTCAGGGCGCCTCACCCTGCCCCTCACTTTCCCCATATCACTAGAGGAAGACAGACAGCTCAAAGGATGCAGGGACAATCTGTCGTACGCTGCACACACAGGCTCATAGCCTTCGTTCATCCCTTCCCCGACAGCCTCTGAGATCAGCCGCAGCACTCCCACCCCATTTGTAAAGGAAAAAGCTGAGATTTAGCCAGCTGAAGCAAGTGGATTAGAGTCCCACAGGAAGCCACTCTAGGGCTCTGAGGAGGCAGACTCGGGTATGGAGAAGGAAAGATGGAGGGAGGGCAGGAGATGAGCATCTGGAGCATGTAACCAAAACAAACCCTTCATGGGGTTCACTCAAGCAGTCGAAGGAGGTTTAAAGGGCTGTGCGTCTGGCTGGCTGTAGCGGCTCATGCTGGGTCCCAGCTCCTTGGAATGCCAAGGTGAGAGGATCACTTAAACCCGGGAGTTCGAGGTCAGTCTGGGTGACATAGCGAGACCCTGTCTCAAAGAGCCACACAAACACAGTGAACCCTGGGTCTGGCCCATCGCCTCCCGAGAGGTACGCCGCCAGCCCAAGGGCCTCTCTGCCTCACTCTCTAGGCACCCAAGAAGGCCAAGAGGAGGGCAGCAGCAGAAGGCGGCAGCTCCAACGTCTTCTCCATGTTTGATCAGACTCAGATCCAGGAGTTCAAGGAGGCAAGTGAGGGGCAGGGAGACCGGACTGAGAAAAGGCACCCTTCCTCCCAGCCCCTCTGGAATGTGCACCTGTTGGATCCCTTCCTCCCCTTTCTGCTTGGGGTGGAAGAGGACAGCTGGTCTGGAGCCAGAATCTGATCCGCCTGGGGTGGGGATGTGGTAGGGAGGTCACCCAAGAGGGCCTATGGGGACCTCCTCCTCCCTTGGCCCCGCACCCACAGGCCTTCACAGTAATTGATCAGAACCGCGATGGCATCATTGACAAGGAGGACCTTCGGGACACCTTCGCAGCCATGGGTGAGTCCTCAGCATCAGCCTGCGAGCGAATGGGGGTGAGGGTGGACGTCCCCTCCCTGTCAGTGCAGGCTGAACCACCTGAAAAGTGGGTCAGATAATCTAAGTCTTGGCCCCTAGGCCGCCTGAATGTGAAGAACGAGGAGCTGGACGCCATGATGAAGGAAGCCAGTGGTCCCATCAACTTCACCGTCTTCCTGACCATGTTCGGGGAGAAGCTTAAGGGTGAGTGGGGCGCTCTTCGTCCACGCCCCAGCTGCCCCTCCCAGACTGCTGGGGATCAGCACTGTGTGCCCTCTGACCCGCAGGTGCCGACCCCGAGGACGTGATCACTGGTGCCTTCAAGGTCCTGGACCCCGAGGGGAAAGGCACCATCAAGAAGCAGTTGTAAGTGGCCCGCAGGTGCCCCAGCTTCCCACCTGCGCTAGCACTGCCCACAGAAGGCAGAGACCAGAGACAGTGGGGTCACATCTCGGACCAGGAGATGCGAGGGCAGCCGTCAGGGGAGGCCGGGAGTAGCATGGGGACGAGGGGCGCAGGGTGCCCAGGAACCGCGGGCCCACACTCAAGCGCCTCTGACTCTCTTCAGCCTGGAAGAACTGCTGACCACTCAGTGCGACCGCTTCACCCCCGAGGAGGTGAGTGGGAGGGCCTGGGAGAGGCGGAGGGGCCTGCAGGGGGCGCGGGTGCTGCTCAGCCGCCCTCCTCACACCCCCAGATCAAGAACATGTGGGCAGCCTTCCCCCCGGATGTGGGCGGCAACGTGGACTACAAGAACATCTGCTACGTCATCACGCACGGTGACGCCAAGGACCAGGAGTAGAGGAACCTCTCCGGCCTCTGGTGGCCAACGCCTCCAGCTTGCACCCCCGACTCCCAATAAAATTCAACTGGTCTTATTTCTTATTGGCGACACCTTAAGGTTTTCTTTTTTAGTTTTTGTTGGCTGTATTGGGGGTTGAACCCAGGGTCTTCACACGGACCTATCACCCCACATTTGTTTTATTTTTTTCGTACTGGGGATCTAACTCCAGTCCTTGCATTTGTGAGGCAGGGGTCAAAACCACTGAGCTAAAGCCCCGGCCCCCCACGTTTCTTTTTTTTGTTTGTTCGTTTGATTTTTGTCTTTTGAGACAGGCTCTCACTATGTAGTTGAGGCCGGCCTAGAACTCACTATGTAGCCCAGGCTGGCGCTGAACTTATGGCGATCCTCCTGCCTCAGCCTCCTACAGGCATACGCCACCTTCAGACGTGGGGACACAGGTGGAATCCTGCACAATGCCCAGCAGCAGGGAGCGCCCAACCAAGTAGTGACTTCATTACCTGAGAGAGGCTCCACCGCCAGGAAAGAGACGAGCGCGGCAGGGCAGCTGTTTTTATTGATGAGAAGAGGGGCGGGTCGGCCTGGGCCGGGGTCCCCTCCGGAGGCGCCGCCGGCTG